GCAAGCGGCTGGGGATAACAGGGCGCACCACCACCAGTCAGTAAAGCTAAATGGACAAGAGGCTAGGGGACTAAGAGACAGCGGGGCTACCATTACCTTGGTCCAGCCACACCGGGTCACCCCGGCCCAGCACACAGGACGCACCATTGCTGTAAGGGTGGCCGGAGGGGCAATTCATAAACTACCAACAGCTCGGGTACACATTGATTGGGGTACGGGGGCCGAGGCTGTGGAAGTGGGCATCATGCCAGATTTGCCAGCGGAAGTGTTGCTGGGGAATGATTTAGGATGCTTGACGTCCCAATTGGCAGCCTGCAGTCCAGAAGGAGCACTACCTGTTACCACCCGTCAGCATTCCAGAGCTATGGAGGCCTCCCCCTCAACCCATGACCAGGTAAGCAATAACCCCCTGACTACTCACCCTGACCATACTTCTTACTGGGGTACCGCTCAAGACTTTGAGCAAGCTCAGCGAGAAGATCCCACATTAAAGGGGTATCGGAGGGAGGCAGAACAGCCCCCATACCCACCTCACAATCCCCCCTACCCACTATACAGCCCCTACCCACCTCACAGCCCCCCTACCCACTATATAGCCCATCTACCCACTATACAGCCCCCATACCCACTTCACAATCCACCCTACCCACTATACAGCCCCAATACCGACCTCACAGCCCCCCTACCCACTATATAGCCCCCTTACCCTCTATACAGCCCCCTACTCACTATACAGCCGCCCTACCCACCTCACAGCCCCCATACCCACCTCACAATCCCCCCTACCCACTATACAGCCCCTACCCACCTCACAGTCCCCCTACCCACTATACAGCCCCCTACCCACTATACAGTCCCCTACCCACCATACAGCCCCTCTACCCACTATACAGCCCCCTACCCACCTCACAGCCCCCATAACCACCTCACAATCCCTCCTACCCACCATACAGCCCCCCTACCCAACTCACAGTTCCCCTACCCACCTCACAGCCCCCCACCCACTATACAGCCCCCTACCCACTATACAGCCATCTACCCACTATACAGCCCCCATACCCACTTCACCCAATCCCCTACCCACTATACAGCCCCAATATAAACCTCACAGCCCCCTACCCACTATATGGCCCCTCTACCCTCTGTAGGCTATATGTAGGCACCACTACTCACAGCCCCCCTGTCCACCTCACGGTCCCCTACCCACTATACAGCCCCTACCCACCCCTCACAGTTCCCCTACCACCCACTATACGGCCCCTACCCACTATACAGTCCCCCTACCCACCATACAGCCCCTCTACCCCACTTCTCTACGGCCCCCCCATACCCACTCCACAGCCCCATACCCACTCCACGGTCCCCTAGCCACTATACAGAACCCCTACCCACCATACAGCCCCCCTATACAGCTTACAGGACACCCATCCACTTCACAGTTCCCCCATCCACCTCACAGTCCCCCCATCCACCTTACAGAACCCCTACCCACCTTACAACCCCCTTACCCACTCACAGCCCTCCTACCCACCATAGTAATATATAAACACATTATATATATATACCAATAATATGTAAGGCATATATGTATATGTATGCATGTCTTGCCACCCCAGATGATTGAGTAATATACACACATAATAAAGAAATATATATATATATATATATATATATATATATATAAAATGTGTTTATATATTATTCAATCATCTAGGGTGGAAACACATAGCCGTACGTATTACATGTGACAATACATGGCGCAGTGACTTATGGGGCTGGCAGAGATTTTTTTCCAGGGCTGCTTTGTATCCCCAGTCTGGCCCTGACTTCTCTTGTCCGCTGCTCGCACCCTTACTGATAAAACACATGCAAAACAAAACACATGCATGCGGCGGGGGCGGAGCTTACTGTGTGGTGGGGGCCTGGCTAACTGCAGCATGGGAAGCAGGAAGGAGTCCCTGCTTCCCCAACAACCAGTCTCCAGGAGCACCAAGCAGGAGGTCAGTGTGTCTGTGTGTGATGCCTGTGAGTGTGTGACTGCCTGTGAGTGTGTGACTGTCTGTGTGTGTGTGTGACTGTCTGTGTGTGTGTGTGTGTGTGTGTGTGTGGGCTGTCTGTGTGTGCTGTCTGTGAGTGATGGCGACTGCCCTGTGGGTGTGTGTGACTGTCTGTGTGTGTGACGGTGTGTGTGTGGGCTGTGTGTGTGTGTGTGTCTGTGTGTGTGTGTGATGTGACTGTGTGTGTGTGTGTTTATGTGTGTGTGTGTGTGTGTGTGACTGTCTGTGGGTGTGTGTGACTGCCTGTGAGGTGGTGGCTGTCTGTGGGTGTGTGGGCTGCCTGTGGGTGTGTGATTGTCTGTGTGGCTGTGTGTGTCTGTGGGTGTGTTGATCTGTGGTGTGGGCTGCCTGTGGGGTGTGATTGTCTGTGTGTGACTCTGTGTGTGTGTGTGTGTGTGTGACTGCCCTGTGTGTGTGACGGTCTGTGTGTGTCTGCTGTGTGACTATCTGCCTGGTGTGACTGTCTGTGTGTGTGACTGTCTGTGTGTGGGACTCTGTGTGTGTGTGTGTGTGTGTCTGTCTGTGTGGGCTGTCTGTTTGTGTGTTGTCTGTGTGTGTTGTCTGTGTCTGTGTGTGGGCTGTGTGTGTCTGTCTGTTGTTGTGTGTTGTCTGTGTGGGTGTTGTTTGTGTGTTCTGTGTTTGTCTGTTGTTTGTCTGTGGTGGATCGTTTTGCTCGGGTTGTCGGTTTGTCTGTGTTGGTCGCCTGCTGGTGGACCTCTGTTGGTGCTGGTGGTCAGTTGTCGGTCGGGGCGTCTGTGGGGATCATGTTGTGTGTTGGTGGAATTTGTCTGTGGACGTGGATTGGTGTCGGACCTGTCTGTGGTTGGGGCGTGTTGATTGGGCTTGTCTGTGTGGTGGATGGATTGATCGTGGGCTTGTCTGTAGTGAGCGTGTGTGTCAGTGAGCTTGTCTGTAGTGAGCATATGTGTGTCAGTGAGCTTGTCTGTAGTGAATCTGTGTTAGTGAGCTCTTCTGTAGGGAGCATGTGTGTGTCAATGGGCTTGTCTGTAGGGAGAGTGTGTGCGCATCAGTGAGCGTGTCTGTAGTGAGCGTGTGTGTGACAGCTTGTCTGTAGTAAGCTTGTGTGTGTATCAGAGTTTGTCTGTACTAAATTTGTGTGTGTGCCAGTAACCTTGTCTGTGTGTGTCATTGAGATTGTCTGTCAATGAGCCTATTTGTGTGCATCAGTAAGATTGTCTGTGTCTGTGTGTGAGTATGCTTTACTGTATAATTTAATTACCCTAAAAGAACTAATATTTTGAAAAAGAAGAAGAAATGTATCAATAATTGAAATGGAAAAATCAATCAAAGTATTGATTATTTCTTTGTGTATCTGCCCCTGGCCAAATCAATGAAACGATGCGTGCACGCTCCCTGAAGTAATTCACACCAGACACAGGTTCCAGGTTGTTGAATAACTTGAGGAAAGTTTATTCAGAGGGGACGGCAGGTCCCTTTTAAAGCAAAATTACATCATAAGCATTGTCAGAGATAACATAGAATAATACATCAATTATTGGTTAGGTGTTAAGTGGTTGCTCTAATGCTCTGCCTACTGAAGTGATGTCACCGGGGCCATGAGGGTCTCCCACGGTTTCCCGGCGCCATCTTGCTGCACGAGGTAGTTAGTTGGTGTTAAGAAGGGAAGGGGGGGAGAGGAGGGTTTAGAAGCTTCTAGCAGCCATTTTGATTAAAACATGTGTGCTCAGCTTTATATATGATATATCGTGGAATGAGTAAATAGACATTTTCACTAACTAGGAAATATGTGCAGACCTTATTTCCACAACAATAATATATATATATATATATATATATATATATATATATACTGTTGCATCACCAGGGCTCCAGTATCCAGGCAATTGAAATAGTTGGCTGCACTCTCGGATTTCCTTAAAACTTAACTTTTATTGAAATATTTAAGAGAAGACCAATGTTTCAGTCCCTTTTGTGGACTTTCGTCATGATCCTGATGCAAGTCCACAAGAGGGACTGAAACGTTGATCTTCTCTTAAATATTTCTATAAAAGTTACATTTTAAGGAAATCCGAGAGTGCAGCCAACTATTTCAATTGCCTATATATATATATATATGTATATATATAACAGCCTACATAGCACAATGACTTATGGGGCTGGCATAGATTTTTTTCCAGGGCTGCTTCGTATCCCCAGTCCGGCCCTGCTTCTGTCTCACAAACCTGCCTCTTTCTCTCTCCTAAATGGCCACACTCCACTCTCACCTCCAGCTCTGCTACGTTCCCACATAATGCAGCCCCTATTATACCCTACATATATACACACACACTCACTGCACCCACTACACTAACACACAGACTGCATCCACTACACACACACTGCATTCACTACACATACACACATACTCTGCATCACTACAAAAACACACACACTGCATCCACTACACACACACATAGTCTGTATTCACTACAAAAACACACACACTGCATCCACTACACTAACACACACACTGCATCCACTACACACACACATAAACTGCATTCATAGGCGTGCGCAGCCTATTGTATAAGGGTGTGAACCCTAAAGCAGAAACATACACGCCGCGTATATATATATATATATATTTATACATATACATACATACATATACACACACACTGCTGTGTGTGTGAGGGTGCTGTGTGTAGGTGCTGTGTGTGTGTGTAGGTGCTGTGTGTGAAGGCGCTGTGTGTGTGCAGACGCTGTGTGTGGGGTGCGCTGTGTGTGTGTGAAGGTGCTGTGTGTGTAAGGGTGCTGTTAGTGTGTGCTGTGTGTGTGTATGTGTAAGGGTGCTGTTAGTGTGTGTGTGTGTGAGGGTGCTGTGTGTGTAAGGGTGCTGTTAGTGTGTGCTTTGTGTGTGTGGGTGAGGGTGCTGTGTGTGTAAGGGTACTGTGTGTGTGTAAGGCTGCTGTGTGTGTGAGGGTGATGTTAGTGTGTGTATGTGTAAGGGTGCTGTGTGTGTAAGGGTGCTGTTAGTGTGTGCTGTGTGTGTGTGAGGGTGCTGTTAGTGTGTGCTGTGTGTGTGTGTGTGTATGTGTGAAGGTGCTGTGTGTGTAAGGGTGTTGTTAGTGTGAGGGTGCTGTTAGTGTGTGTGTGTAAGGGTGTTGTTAGTGTGTGCTGTGTGTGTGTAAGGGTGCTGTGTGTGTGAGGGTGCTGTGTGTAAGGGTGCTGTTAGTGTGTGCTGTGTATGTGTGTGCTGTGTGTAAGGGTGCTGTTAGTGTGTGTGTGTGTGTGTAAGGGTGATGTATGTGTGTGTGCTGTATGTTTGTGTGTAATGTGTGGGGGCTGTTTAGTTAATATCCCCCCTCCCTTCTTACCTTATGTAGGGAGGGGGGACCGTGCTCCTGCCTTCCCTAGTGGACCGCGCAAGAGGCACACTGCATCCACTACACACACTGCATCATCTACACAAACTCTGCATCCACTACACAAACACACTGCGCCCACTACATACACTGCATCATCCATTCTAAACAAACACTGCATCATCTATACAAACACACACACTACATCCACTACACACACACAAACACTGCATTCACTACCAAAACACACACACTGCGCCCACTACACAAACACTGCATCCGCTACACACACTGACTCCCTGGGGGCAAACATTTTGGCGGACTGGGGTGTGGGCCCCAGGGGGCCAGACCTTGAGCTGTGTAAGGGGCCCCAAAATTTCTTATGGCAGCTAACATATACTGCTGCAGGTGCTGCCATGTAAGCACATGTAAGCACACACACAGCAGGTCCCCCTGCAGGCTACCCATCCTTCCTCCCATTCACATTCATTATTTACGGTAACAGCGCACTACCAGTGCTGAACAGCTGGTGGCGCTGGTTTCCTCCCCTAAAAGAAGTGGATGCAGCAATCGCACGCCGTGCGCACGCGCCGCCTTGCGGTGCTCTCACGCGCCCGGCAGATGCGCTCCACGCGCACCTCGTGATTGGCCAGCGAGAGAGAGTGCGTCACTTATTTTAATATCAACGGAATTAAACGGTGTGCTTCCGCCGTGCTGCTGAAGCAAATTAGAAAATAGTGCCGCCTCTGCGGCCATCGGTACATCTACGGAGAGATTTTCTGTGACCCGTGAAGAAAATCGTGCGTCGTGTGAGTGTGAAACGTGAATGTACTGATATAGATTTATAGATTCGTTTTATTGATGAAAGTGACGGCGCGGAAGGATCTCTGTGTGTGTGTCAGGTGTGGGCAGTGATGCGGCTCTGCAGGGATCACCTTGTATCCCAGTAGCCGGTTGCTGTCAGTCGGGCGGCGGAGAGAGCACAGAGCACAACCTGCGGACCCAGCATCCAGGTAATCCTCAGTATACCGCTATGTGAGCCCAGCCCCGGCCAGTGTCGCTCACTGACACACACACAGCATCATGGAGCATCCTGCATGTCATCACAGTCCTCCTCACTCTGCCATCACAGTGACAGCCTGTATTATAACAGCCTGTATCACTACCTCTGTATTACAGCACTGTCTAACTGCCTCTGTATTACAGCACTGGGATAGCAGACTGTATCCCTACCTCTGTATTACAGCACTGGGATAACAGACTGTATCCCTACCTCTGTATTACAGCACTGGGATAACAGCATGTATCACTACCTCTGTATTACAGCACTGGGATAGCAGGCGGTATCCCTACCTCTGTATTACAGCACTGGGATAGCAGGCGGTATCCCTACCTCTGTATTACAGCACTGGGATAGCAGGCGGTATCCCTACCTCTGTATTACAGCACTGGGATAGCAGACTGTATCCCTACCTTTGTATTACAGCACTGGGATAACAGCATGTATCACTACCTCTGTATTACAGCACTGGGATAGCAGGCGGTATCCCTACCTCTGTATTACAGCACTGGGATAGCAGGCGGTATCCCTACCTCTGTATTACAGCACTGGGATAGCAGGCGGTATCCCTACCTCTGTATTACAGCACTGGGATAACAGCCTGTATCTCTGTATTATAACAGCCTGTGTTACAGCACTGGGATAACAGCCTGTATCTCTGTATTATAACAGCCTGTATCCCTACCTCTGTATTACAGCACTGGGATAGCAGACTGTATCTTTACCTCTGTATTACAGCACTGGGTGACCTCACTAATAGCAAGATTATTATTATTATTATTATTATTATTATTATTATTATATTTCATCCTCTCTGGAGCTAATGTCTGCACTATCCGGTATTCACAGATAGATGCACAATGTTACTTACTTATCCCTTTTAGTTGAATTCCAGTAGTAAGGATTAGCATATGTCTGACTCTGTGTGTATGTATTTCTATGTGTGTGGTTAGTTCAGATTATTATTTTTCATGTATTTAAAATAAAAATCATCTATTCTCAAACTTTGTTTTATCTGTAGAATTATTGCATTAAACAAGTTGCAGTTGAGCTCCCTGTTAGGTAGCTCTTTAAAAATGGCTGCTCCCTGTAATATGCAGTATCACTAGTTGCCATGGGGATTTAGCTGATGAATTGGGGGTGTGACCTGACAAGATGTGTGGGTATCTGCTGGTGTGTGTCCCTTCTGACCTTGGAGTTGTGTTGTATTAAAAATGTCTATGTGCTGTGGAGAATCTACTGAAAAGCTGACACACTTGCGGGAATAATTTGGATTAGGTTTCCTCTTTACGGTTTTAGCATAATCTCTTACAAGGCTAAACTCTGGATTTTTTTTTTTTTTTATTCATTATTTAAAAAAAAAAGAAATTCCCTTTTGGATTTAATTTGCAACGTTTAGTGAGCAATCCTGTTAGTTATTGGACTGCAGAAACGATGAATGTACTTCAAATTTGGGTGAAAATGGAGGTGTGTGTGTGTGTGTGTGTGTGTGTGTGTGTGTGTGTGTGTGTGTGTGTGTGTGTGTGTGTGTGTGTATATATATGTATGTGTGTGTGTGTGTGTGTGTGTATATATATATATATATATATATATATATATATATATATATATATAGATTTTTTGTTTATATATATATATATATATATATATATATATATATATATATATATATATATATATATATATATATAACATATTTTTTTTTTTATTTTTTTTTTCATTGTTTTGAACTAAAACCTTAAATTTCTTGTTCGATTCCAGCTTAGTGGGGGAAAACCCTTCCCTAGTCGTCTGGTAAATGTAAAAATAACTCTAAAATACAGTTGCTAGTCAGATAATTCTAGATATTCTTCTCGCTCTGAAATTAGCCAAGCTTTCAGAATGTCTTTCATTTATCAAGTCATAATTTGCATGTGTGGTTGGAAGAGATTTGTAATATTTGCCAGGCCCTAGGCAACTGCATGCAATAGGTCACCTACTGCCGCATCACTTCCTTTCCCAGTTCAATGGAGACCTCTCCCATAGAGGCTAAGGTGTTCTGCAAAATTGCTTTTTGTCCTCTATTAAATCTCTTTTGAAGAATGTATCAGTGAGGCCATTTTAAAACTGAACTATGTGTTGCCGAGCTAATACCATATGTATTAATTGGGTGATTTTCTGATGAGGTTATGTGTGATCTCCAAAGTAGACCTATTCACATCAAATATTATAAGCAAAACATCTGCCTTTTCACTAGACTTGACTGACATTCTTGTAACATTTCACTATACATGTGCTAGTAGATATGTCTGTTTGAAGCACTATAAAGAAATGAGCGAACTAGGAAAAATCTAATCTATTTGCATGACTAATCTGTGAAGGAAGTGGTGTAGTGCAGTACACATGGATTACACAAAGGTTTTTGCATTTTTCTTCGAGTTCTTTATGAATCAGACAAACCACATTTCCAGCACTTGTAAATCTGTAAAATGTCACTGCTAAAGAACAGTTGCTTGGCTTTGGCTCCGTGACACACACCCCTATAAATCTAATGAAAGATTCAAGAACTCATTTCTAATTGAAGAATTGTATAGCTTGTAGGCATGATCAAATCGATAAAAACTTGTGAAACTGGTGTGTGTTTATTAAACCCCAACATGTGAGTAAGAAATATGTGCATATCTTCCCTTTGACCTCTTAACCAGAGGGATTATATCTGTTCATTACAATACTAATCTTACTGTTCATCTTTAATATAAAGGGTTTTTTGTGGGGTGTCTCTTTAAACTTTGTCTGCGTTGTGTAATAATTATTAGTCCATGCCCCAACCACAATCTGCAAGTTGTAACATGTATTGCGCAGTGTCTCAGAAGTGCATGTTGTAATGGCGTTTGAATGTTAATCCTACATTTTATTCAGCAAATCATCTAATATCTGTACGTTATATACTGCTTTGTAAGACAACTGCTGAAAACCTCTGTGCAGTGGAAAGTCAGCTGTTACTATAGCATCACTTGCAAAGTTATTTTTATATTTAAATCCCTGTTTGTCAATCTGTAACGGGACCGCTATGCACCATAACTGCTACACTTTATTTTAGTGGTTATAGTGCAATCTTTATGGTTTATGTTGAGCAATTTTCAGACTTCATGTCTGCCTTATCAGTACAGATCCACACACATTTTGACTGCACTTCAGACTGTGTTCTCTTCACCCCAAACACTCCTCATATCTTTATCTATAGTTGGATTAATGGGGCAGATAGTGGAATAGCAGAAGTAGACTTTGGGTAAAATTAAAGCCCCTTTTTTCAATAAAAACTGGAGGGACCGCACCAGAAGGCTCTTCTCACCATAACCACTGTAGCATATTGCAGTGGGGTATGTGCATAGTGCCCGTTTTAGTTATATCCCTTCTCTAAAGGAGCAATAAAGTTGCTCCCATGTGATTACTTGCAAAGCTAATTATTTAACACACAGGCTCATTGCACCATGCATAATGCTATGTGTAAGTCAAACTAGACCCAAAATCTAAATTTGCATACTTGTTCTTCCAGTATTTAATTTGGGGAAATGTTTTCTGAATTAAAGGATGCCTTTGTACCTGTGAATACAGCTGTGTTCATGTAATGGGTATGCTTGCTGCAGTGCCATTCGTAAATAGAAATCCATGGAAGATTAAAGCCAGGAATACTTTAATGCGTTGGTGTCAAACTGTTTTGCCATAGTTTACCCTCATACCTGCGACATGCATCGGTCTTCTGCAAAGCTGGATGGCAGTCTTGCTGGCTATTCACTGGCAGAGAGCGTCAGCAGTTCTGTACATTACGATTTCACAGAATTGCCATTGACTAGAATTCTGGACTGGGTGACACTACCGGCAACAGAGGTGCTAATCTCCATATGTGCAGCTTTTTAATATTGAAACTCTACACATACAGACTATATGGGAACCACAACCACTAAAAATCACTGAAATGGTAAAAAAAAAATTGTTTCAAATTTGCCATTAGTCTCTTAATGTTATTTGTATGAAACTGTAAATTAGCCTGAAAATTTTAATCTAGAGAACTGCCTTGTCCAGACACTAGCAGTGTGTTTTTATGCAATCATCTAACTTTATTTTTGTATTCCTGTGGCATATGGTATCCTTATGAGTTTGCAGCTCTTGAGGTTAATGCATTTTTTTTATTTTTTTTTCTGTGATAAATTAAAGACCTCCTGGCAATGAATGGTGTTGGTTCAGGCCATTTGTAATGTCATGTTGGTTGTGGATATCTATAGAACTTCTATATTAAGCGTTCTGCAGAGGATGCCCTCTGTCCTTTGCAAGGGTATTTCAAGGACCTGGCTAAAATCAGTGCTTAAGCTGCCCCAATCTCTGTAAATGGGTTAACAGCATTGTAATACAGCAACAGTACCAGTGTTTCTTAGTTTATGGGTCAGTTTATTGATTAATGCAGTATTCTCTTCATATGCCAGAGTGATGCTGCTTTTGCATCTTATTGTGTAGATGTGGCACTGTAATTGGTGTGTACACTATAACCTATTTGATAGAAATCTGCCTGGAAACTTGTGTGGATATTCTTTCTCTAAAAACTGAATTGAAAACTTGCAGAATCATTCCTCCCAGCATTAGGATGGGGGAGGTTTAAAGGGGTGTGGTTGTGTCTCTTGATTCTCAACCCAAAAAGGATGAGGGCATGTCAGCCTAGAGTGAATGCACATCCTGGTGACTAGTCAGCCCCACTGACACTTGCAGAGCTCCCATATTGAACACCCTCTGTGACTGACATTTGCATAGCATGAGCGTGTCTAATGGGATTCTAACCGTGTGTTATGTGGAATTTGTTCTCCAGTATCCCCTGATACCGGACATAAGTGCGCAAACCCAGGATCATGAGATGACCTCGAACATGGTCAACAATAGCTTGACAAAATATTTTGCCTCTGTTTAAATCCTGAATTTAGCAGGGTTTCCCTCCCCCACTTAAACTTGCTGTTAAGTTAATTAACCCAATAGTCTGTTCCAAGAGATAAAAGAATGAAGTTTGTGGGATCTGAAACGAACAAGGTCCCTTTTGGACCTACAGCAAGTATCTGAATAATAAAGTGCCAGGGTATATCAGATAGGCAGGCTCTAGGCATGGCCTTGCTGTAGAAATAAAATGGCTATCTGCTAATAGCAGCATGATTTTGCTGTGTATGTATTTCTGTAGATCAGAGCATAATTCTAATTTTGTGTATCAGTTAATTATATTATAGAATGTGTTTTCATGTAAATGTCCTTCATTTGTCTGTAAAGGTCTCAAATCTAGCTAAAGCTATATATAAACCCTGCTTTATTGATTAGTGCAGGAAATGCAACAGCCAAAGATTCATCCTGATCTCAGTGCTGACATTCCCCCTTCGCCACTTACACAATGCAGAGCAAGGTGACACTGGTTGCCTTTTGCCGAACCTGTCCACATCTGAGTGGATCCATCAAAGAATACATTTTTGTTAAAGCCAGATTCATTTCTGGTCCTTGCTTCTTAGTCAGGGAGTTCCTGTGTTTGGTAATCCGACATGAGCTGAGTAATATCCTCTATAAAACTGACTGGAAAGCAAAGGGTGGGGGCCACCCAGATTTCTCTAACTATGTAGCCGTAAATGACTTGTGTAAAGCAGGGAATTTACCCTGTCTGGTTTGGGTATTCCAGATCCCTTGGATATGCTGTTTTAAAACCAAATTGTATGTTTCCTTAGCCTAAGCCTTCCTGCGTCTTCCTATTGGTGAATACTTGTTAGGGTATTCTATTTAAATTTTTATTTGATTTGAAGATCTTTACATTCTTGTAACTTAATGCATTTAAATTGTCCTAACCGTTTTTATTTTTTTTGACTGTTACATCTGCACAGCTTATCCTAGTTATTTTTAGCTTGCTCCTCTCTTGCCTAGAGATGGGGTTTTAAGGGTTTAACCCTTTGAAGAACTAAGTTAAGAAAATTCCTTGTGACAGTGCTGAGATGACTATAGTCCTGAAGGAGTTAATGTAAATTCTTCCTGAAAATTTGACATTCTGGTACATTAGTAAAACACAAATTTGGAGGCACATGTAAAAGAAGCAAAGATTCTTCTCCCCCCTCCCCCCTCCCCCACTCTCCTGTTGTTGGTCCAGGCCTAAACCGAGCACATGTATCCTGTTATCCTTTCATATAGTGGGTGTCCCAGTGATGGGCTAGATTGCATGTGACGCATTCTAATTGAGTGTAAGCGCAGGATGTGATTCCAATGGGTTTTCTCTTATGTGAGATGAATAGGGTTTCAGGTCTAGAACGGTGTGGTTCTGTCTCACTGTATCTGACATGCTCGTGTTCAGCAGCACGTACAGTCTGGGGCTTACAGCAGAGGGAGGGGCCTCGTGGTGGCATGTTATTTGAAGGAGGAGGGCTGCACAGGAGATGCTAGTAGGCTGAGCGGTCCAGGCCAGTGAGGAAGCAGGAGAGACAGTATCAGGTACAGCTTGACAATTACTGCACTGAATAAACCTGTTTTATTATGTTCAGTCAGTGGGTTTTCTGGTAGTTACTGATAAAATACATTGATATAAATATTTGGCTTTTTATACTGATACATTGGGATATTTTTCCTTTTCTCTTTAGACCTGTTTAAGGTGTGTGGTTTTTTTTTGCAGCTGTAATTTAAATGTCCTATAAACATTGAATTGATGAATGTGGGAGAAGTGTGAGAAAGTATCTAATTTCTTAGCGCTACTGTATCAAGGCTTTTCATGCTGTGTTTTGAAGGCGGAAGTGACTCCTCACCGTTCATGTAATCTTTTAGGTTCCTGTGTAAAGATCACTGGGGTTTTCATAGCAGAACTGATTCATGTTTCACAGTTATTTCATTGCTGTTTTGAGTAATTCTTTTGAATATCAGAAAGGAATGAATTAATCTGCTAATGCCAGTGTTAATTCCTTTCCTGTTCAAAAAATGGTCAATGGAAGGTTAACGATAAATGGGAAATTGCCCCCCTTTTTAACTTTAGCATTTTAACAAGCATATGTCACTTCTTACTATATAAATGACAGGCTAGTATTAGAACCCCATCGCATGGCACCTTGATCTGGATACACATTGGGTAGCACTGTACACCTAAGTTTAATATCATCCAGTGTCTTCGTGTCGTACCATTGTGATTGGCATGCTCAGTGGTAATTCCTGTATCATGCATTACCAACTTTTTAAACTTAAAATGCTATTCTTTGCACAATGGAATATAATTACTTAAGTTTGTTTTGTTTTTTTGCAGTAAGTGAAGTTTTTTTTTTTTTTTAGTCACAATGTCCAAGTCTCCAGTATCCGAGGCGGGAAGCGCCTTCATCCAGACACAGCAACTTCATGCAGCCATGGCAGACACCTTCCTGGAGCACATGTGTCGTCTGGACATAGACTCAGAGCCTATTGTGGCACGCAACACTGGCATCATTTGCACTATAGGTAGGTGGGGAGGGGGGTGGCTGTAGTAGAAGCAAAAACTCATTTTCATATGTCTCCTAGAAAATTGTATGATGTGTGTAGGACAAACCCAGAGGATAAATATGTTTGGTCCCTTTCACATGTTTTATTTAATGGGAGATTGTTTGTTTGTTTACATTGTGTGTGTGTGTGTGTGTGTGTGTGTATACATGCTTATTTGGAACTCCATACATGATTATAGAACTCTTGCCCCACCAGGTCCAGCGTCTTGCCCTGTGGAAATACTAAAGGAGATGATAAAATCTGGAATGAATGTTGCCCGTCTCAACTTTTCACACGGAACACATGAGGTAAGATGTGGCCAGCAATGGGGAGCAGAACCTCCTGCACTCAGAAGGTCACTACAGAAACCTTATCTTCTCTCAGCAGCTGTCTGCTACAAAAATAGTTTTCTCTGGCAGTGTTGGAACTCCTGTGTCTGCCCTTCTTATTCAACAAAGCTATAGTTGTGTGCGTTCTTTAGGTTGGCATTATATCCTATGAGGCTAAACCAAAATATAGATTTCTTAAACCTGCCCTGCATTCAAGCAATAAAACTTTTTCTTCCACTGGGAGCAATTCCCCATGGTAGCAAAGAAATTACCCAGGTGGCCAGTAGCAGAATTTTAATTTAATATAAATTTAAGAATAACTTTTTTGAAAATGTATACAAGACCTTTGAGTGCTTTCTACTTTGTAACTCCTATCTAGATAGAATCTCCACAGGACTCGTACTTTCTTGAGAATGCTTAAGTAAGGGTTTTTGATTTGCCCTTCCTCATTTTTATTTTAACTTATAACTCTGGTGGATGTGCTGTACAACAAGAATAACGTATTCCATCTCATTCTGGTAATGAGGTTTACATTCTGCTGTGCTGGTGGTTTATCCCTCCCATCCACACAGTTCCGCCTATCGACCAGAATGAGGCAGCATGGTGGAGGCGAATTTAACTTATTAGAATTAAATATTAAAAATATATTTCATTGCAACAAAAGAATGCTTGCCACCTCTATCCAGTGGTTTTATTGGAATAATAGTTGAAGTACAGGCTAAGTGCTGATGTTAATAGGACAGTGTTGGGGAAATAAGCAGGATAGTGCATTTGAGACAGTCTTGATGAGTGTGTAATGGCTGACTAAGTTTTGTTTAGCAATTTAACCCTTAAGGACACATGACGTGTGACATGTCATGATTCCTTTTTATTCTTGAAGTTTGGTCCTTAAGGGGTTAATGTAGGTTATGGCCTAGAAACTTGTATAAACTAGTCTTATGATTCCATAAGTGATCATGGAAGATGTCTCTACAAGCATAACAAGTTCACTAACTATACAAGCAAAATGTAGTTAGATTGTTAGGCCTCTACAACAATTCCTGTAGACTTTAATGGGGATTTCTGTAGATAAATCATAAAGTGTTTCTAACAGATTGTGATAATATGAAAATAATTCAATTGCATTACATTTGATATGTGCGTGTTTGTTTGTTTTTGTGTGTTTTTTTTTTTTTTTTTTTTTTTTTTTTTAAGGGGAAAACCAAAACTCAATAATTTAGTTCAGGCCAACCCTTGATGCTCCAGGCGTACACGTTCAGACATCTGCAGAGGATTGCCACATGAGGACACGCGCAATTCAGTCACTTATGTGCCTGTGTGCAAAGCTAGGGATTAAATAGTACATTGAGGCTTTGCCAGAATATCCAGTCCTAGAATACAATTTAAAGAGATCTTTCCCAAATTTTATATATTTTTTTTTTTTTTCTTTTTGTTCGTATAGAGGCTGTGCAGACCTGACAGTTCTGTTTTAACTCCGAAAATATATCCAATTTCCTTTTTAAACCCTTAAGGACATGTGACATGTCATGATTCCCTTTTATTCCAGACGTTTGGTCCTAAAGGAGTTATTAGAAAATGGGAGTTGTATCGCTTTGAGGGGATTGAAAATTTTGGGCAAAGTATAGCAGCTATGTGGCCTAAATATTTAAACTTCATTGTCATTTTAACAGGGTTTTTTTTTGGTTTTTTTTTTTTTGTGTGTGAATTATTCTGAATGAAAACTTACAATTTAGCCGCCATGTTAATTAATTAAGCTGAATATCAGAGCCATGCTTTTAAGTGTACATTGATGGACATTACTTTATGTCAATGTGTTTATTTCCCCTCTGTATAATTGTAAAGTGCAGTGGAATATGTTGGTGCTTTATAAATGGTACTAATAGTACACCTCTATTGTGGTTTTTTATTTGGCAGTACCATGCTGGCACCATCAAAAATGTGCGTGAAGCCACAGAGAGCTTTGCTTCCAACCCCATACTCTACAGGCCTGTTGCAGTTGCCCTTGACACCAAGGGACCAGAAATCCGAACCGGTCTTATTAAGGGCGTAAGTATCCACTACTGTCTTGTCAGATTTTGACTTTCCCTTCTACCACCATTCCTGATTCGCCCCTGTGTCTATCTTTTTAGAGTGGCACAGCAGAAGTGGAGCTGAAGAAAGGGGGAACCCTCAAGGTGACCCTGGATGATGCCTTCCAAGACAAATGCGATGATAATGTGCTGTGGGTAGACTACAAGAACCTCCCCAAGGTGGTGCAGGCTGGCAGCAAAATCTATATAGATGATGGACTCATTTCCCTGCTGGTTAAGGAAGTTGGTAAGTAAATGTTTATATAAATTAGTTGCTTGTTTTGAAAAACTCTATACTGTCACTATGATCTTTGTTGCCAAAATAAAGTCCTGCGCTCAAACACCCACTACTCTTGGGCGGTAGCAATGACCATAGTACACAGCCCTAATACATACAGTAAAAACCCAAAGAAGGTTACCTGCGCTCTTCCCAAATCCCTATGCCTAATTAAATGAAGGTTATTTAGTTGCTCCAATGGCCATTGGGTTAATAAGCATGCAGAGGTGTATACTCTCATGGCCATTGGAGTAACTAAATAACCTCCATTTGTTTAAATATGCATAGGGATTTGGGAAGAGCGCAGGTTTTGTTTGGTTTTTTTTTACGGTTTGTCACAACAGTACCAGAATTACAAAATTCCCATCTATGCATCAGAACAAAATAAAATGGCATGCTGACCACAGTCCATTTTAAATGTCTGTGTGTTAAACCCCAATCTCTCTTGGCCTCCACACTGAAACTCTCTTCAAAACTTTATCAAAAACTAGGTGTCCTGTACAGAAATAAATCCTACCTAAGCCCTACAGTTAGGAAACTGATTGTACATCAGATCCTAATGCCAGTCATTGAATATGGTAAACCCACCTTCATAAAGTTACCATGTTTAATGTTCCCCTGCTTTGTACTACAATGTAATTACATGATGCACCATTGTGACATGTTACAATGCATTTTTATTTGGATTTCCTCATAGGAAAGCATTATACACTAGTTTCCTATGGGGTTTTGGGTCAGGCTGGATGTCCAGTGTTAGGTGACCTAAAGTCCCTCTAGAGCTAATTATTGCAGAACTGAAAGGTATATTGCAGTTTCTCAATAACTGCAATAATCACTTTTTGTTGGGTGAAGGGACCTGAGACTGCACCCAGACAACATCAATGAGCTGAAGTGCTCTGGGTGCCTAGTGTCCCTTTTAAGAGCTTGTCTGGGAAGCTCCCACCTTACCGGAGTTACTGAAGAATGCTGTACCCATTTCCAATCCACTACCAGCAGCAAAAAGTGGCTTGATCCTGCTTTTCCTACAGAGCACCGCAATTATGGAATAACCTCACGGTTACAATCAATCTTCCTCCAGTCTAAAATTCAAGAGATCTTAGATCCTGGTCAACAGATCTCCATACTGAATGCACTTGTAATTGATATTTGTGTTCTATATTAAATTTTTGTGTATTTTCAGATAGGTTTTTTTTTTTGTAACTTCAATATTGTATCCTGTTTTAACAATGGAAGGTTTGGGCCAAGGACATGCTTAAAACAGAGAGAAATCTGACTGTCCTTCCTGGTAAAATATTTTCTAAGAAGCTGGTCATATTGTAGTAGTCGTCGTAGGTCCATTGAATAAACGTCAGGTTATCAAACAACGTAATTGATGTTTGTTTTACAACTTTCTCTGCTAGTTTATGTTCACGACTGTGATCATTTCCTGAACCTTTTTATTTTCCATGTTAATAAAACATTAACAATGCACCAGTGATGTTCTAGTTTTACTATACATTACATAAATTGCTGTTGAGTGTCCCTAACCAATAAACTTTAATGCAGTAAAGTCGCGATACCAGTCATGACTGCTGCACAATATCCTTTTGTTTTTATATTCACAATCATCAAATGTTCAATATATCTCTTTAAACCATAAAATGAATATCTGCCAATGCTTGTCAATAATCTACTCTAGGCAAAGACTACTGTTTGACAGAAGTGGAAAATGGAGGGTCTCTCGGTAGCAAGAAGGGTGTGAACCTTCCTGGCGCAGCAGTGGATCTGCCTGCTGTTTCTCCCAAAGACATTGAAGACCTGCAATTTGGTGTTGAGCAGGGTGTTGATATGGTATTTGCCTCCTTCATCCGCAAGGCAGCTGATGTGCATGCAGTAAGGAAAGTTCTGGGGGAGAAAGGAAAAAATATCAAGATTATCAGCAAGATTGAAAACCATGAAGGCGTGCGCAGGTTAGTTTTACCATTCATGATAAGAGAACCAATTCATTACTCCAACATAGTCAAACTACAAACGTGCCAATTTCCGTTTTCACATTTCTAACTTTCACCATTTTATTTACTGGGACCAAAAAAAACTGTTGGCAGGTGCACATTACCTCCATGACATTCCGTTTGCAAAAGCAAACTGTTCTTAATATGGGGTATTTGAAGTATTATCACTTATTTTAAATCTGAATTTAGCCGATATCTATCTATAAACAAATATTAACTGCACTCACTGGCTGTAATAATAAAATCTTATTCTTTATTGGATTTGTTTTCAAAATTAATCCAACAAAGAATTTTTGCAGCTAATTTTTATCTGGATACGCTTGAGTCCTGGCTGGCACCCAGCAATGTAGAAAATTTCAGCTTGTGTGCAGGGACGAAAAAATGTGCTCCCTCTCTTAGAACAAGCCATTCACAGCACTGGTCTAGAATGTGACCTACTTTTCAGACTATTACTGGGCAGTCTCCTCAGTGAGGCTTCCAATAATAGGAAGTACTCTCCACGACCGGGAAATGTATTGAATGGAGCACTATCAGTCTGAAAAATTGCAGTATGCTGGTAAGACGTCTCCTAAAAGATTCTTGTGGAGTATATAGATTGATGCATTTAAAAAAAAAAAATTTTTTTGCTTTGTTTCCTAATGCTGTTTTTCTGCAAACAAAATTTTTACAAAAACCAGCTGCCCCTGCACGCAAACAATATCCCTTTCTCAATATTGTATCATGGAAGAGCAAATATGCTATTAGAAATATCAGCATAAAATAGAAGTTAAGACACACAACAACCTTTCTCTTATGTAAATTCGCTTTCAGATTCCCACCCACCATGGGTTGAGAATTTGTTTGGTTTTGTCAAAAATGATCTCTGGTATTCTAGTTATATAACCAGCTGTGCCATTATTTCTACCCCTATATCAGTGTAGGTTTTAGAGAATATTAGTGGAAGTAAATGGTAATGCATGGGATGGACAAGGCTGCACTGAATAGGAAATTGTCCACTTGCTGAACATCAAGCGCAGACTACATTGATTGAGCTTTTAACTGATGTTCCTTGACTGACATCCTTTCATTTTTCATTACAGCTTTATTAAAGGATCCTATAGTGCCAGGAAAATAAAGCAGTCTTCCTGGCACTATAGAGTTAATGCGTGTCTCCCCCACGCACATTAGACCTCCCTATAGGAAAGCATTATTAAATGCTTTCCTATGGGGAAAATCCTTTAAAGGCACACTGTAGGCACCCAGATCACTTCAGCTCATTGAAGTAGTCTGGGTGCTGTGACCCTTTTGCACTTAGTGCTGCAATGTTTACATTGCAGTTCTAAGTCTGTGGCTGTCTACCAGACGGCCACTGGGGGCGCTTCCGGATTCCAAACTGACTTTTGGTCCGTTATCTGACGCTGGAAGTCCTCACAGACCTCCAGCATCAGAATTTCCCCAAAGAAAAGCATTGAATAATGCTTTCCTACGGGGCCATCTAATACGTGCGTACATGGAAATTGCCACGCATTAGGTCTCTTCCCGTCCCCACCTGCCGGCTGATGTCAGGTAAGGAGTGTGGGCGGAGCTTGACCCAGCGCCAAGGGATATCAGCACTGGATTCAGGTTAGTGGCTGAAGGAGTTTTAACCCTGCAGGAGAGGGGCACTATAGGATCCCTTTAAGAAGTCAACCCTGCAGCAGCTGTAAGCCCCCACCTAAATCCCTTTCATTTCTCAGTAGTATAGCAGGAAGGCAGCTGCCTTATGGAATCTTCCTTTGATAAGACTATATTGGTCACCACTATAACATTTCAATGTAGTATTGTTCAACAAAGCTCTGGCTAAAGAGAGGGGGAACTAGCACATATTCCAAGGTTTTATGTACAAGCCGAGACCTAAGCATAAATGTGTACTGCACATTTATTTATTTTAATCCAGTGTCATCCAAGATGGCAGGTCTGCAGTGAGGGGAGGATAGCCATTTACATAAGAAAATCATAAGTGATTACATTAAAGGTACACTATAGTTGCCAGAACAACTACAGCTTATTGTATTTGTTCTTTTGAGTAGATTTGTTCAGAGAAAATACTAGAGGCGCTTCCTGGTGGGACAAAGTGAGACAGACTGCACCCACTGGAATTTGATTATGGCCTTGTAGTTTGGCATGTAAATTACATGAGTTGACTCTAAAGGCGATATAAGGATTGTTGTATAGAATTGAAGTACTCTCTCAGGAATATTTCATGCCTTCCTCTTCTATAGGTTTGATGAGATCCTTGAAGCCAGTGATGGTATCATGGTAGCCCGTGGTGACCTTGGTATTGAGATCCCAGCAGAAAAGGTCTTCCTGGCCCAGAAGATGATGATTGGCCGTTGCAATCGCGCTGGCAAGCCTGTGATCTGTGCCACACAGGTAAATGCTGCTTTACGTGTCTGGGCAACACATAATGTTCCTAAAATGTGTCAAAAAGGTCGAACCGAAGACAACACAAGACTTGCCTGGTATTAGCTATATAGTACTACAATAGCTGTGGCTTTTTTCTGGCAATCCCTGTGCTCAGAGTTTGGTTGAGCAGGGACTTCATATTTGTCTTTAAGTTGACATAATTTTCTAAATGGCTCTGGATAAATTCCAGCTCTATCCCCTCCTCGCCCCTTTTTTTTTTTTTTCATTTAAGACCTGAATGGTTAAAGTATAACAAACTTTACTCTTTAACACACAGATGCTGGAGAGCATGATCAAAAAGCCACGTCCAACTCGTGCTGAGGGTAGTGATGTAGCTAATGCTGTGCTGGACGGTGCAGACTGTATCATGCTTTCTGGGGAAACAGCCAAGGGAGACTACCCACTGGAGGCTGTACGAATGCAACATATGGTAAGTAGCCAATCAGTGTGTGTGTGTGTGTGTGTGTGTATATGTGTGTAAACGTATGTGTTTGCAATCTGTAATAAAGTGTACTTCTCGCTGTATATGGATACAGTAGTGTGTATGTACAAGTATTTGTAATCCGTAATAGTGTACTTTTTGCTATATATGAATACTGTATTTTGTCTGTGTGGTGGATGTACAATGCTTGGTAACATTGGATTTAAATGCGAGTCTGCATGTGCAGATGTCCTCTGCCGCTTGCCCTGCGCTTTTTGATTCTGCCTGCCTAATGCTTGCTGCTATGAGAAGCGTAGCAAAAGATCTTAGATGCTGCTAATATCAGCGCTGGCAAATGCAACTTTTTTTATGTATATTTCCCCCCCCCCCGCTCCTCCATCCCCACTTGTTTCTCTTTATCCTACTAGAGGCTTTAGACTCCGGTCTGATCTCACCATGTGCTGAGGGGTAGGAGGCTGGGCCGGGCGCAAGAGAGGTCTGAAATGGTGCTTGCTTGGCTCATCCAGCCTGTGCCTGGTACTGGAAATATATTATGATAGCTAGTGTGGGAGAATGCTGACACAGACGGGAAAGTTGTACCATTACTCTTGCAACAGTGCCCACATACACCTGCTGTCCATCTGTCATATGCATTGTATATACAGTGGAATGAGCCGATTTCTCAAATTATGGATACAAATCTTTGTGACAGTATTAAATATCCGTTTTTACAAACTATTTTGGGGTTATTTGCCAGATTGAGCAAAACAAAGTTGGCATAAACTCTTCAAACATCTGGTTTAAAGTTTAGGTTTGGGGGTTATTATGCAACCAGGGAGAAAACCCAGGTGGACATGGCTGTTTACTGAAGTGAGAATGAGTTTAAGTCATAATATCCAAGATATCCTTTAATTTCAGCAACTCTGGACTTTTATTTTAAATTCACTTTGAATTCTCACTCTTCTAAATAAACTTGATAGAACTTAACTGTACAAGTAAATGTGCATAACGACAAGTAGTCTTTAGTGAAGGTTTTTATTACTTTTTTTTTTCACACGTCTAAACGCAGTGACTTTGAACCCTGATAGGACTCTAAGCTCAGTATGCATACACGTATGCTCTCATTCTCCCTACACATTTCTGTCACTTGACTATTGAAATGTTTCTGGTATGCCACATACAGTATGTACATGCTTGGGAGTGTAAACTCATCAATATAGAATAAAAACTCTAGACATCACGATGTAAAAACAGGTCTATAGTTAGAAAGCTATTTTATCACTAGCAGACCTATGTAATATCTTATAACTTACAGAATTAAAACAGTTATTCTTTTCATACCCTGTCTGGCCAATGCCTATCACCTGGGATTTTACTGTTTCCTGGCAACAATATGAGATTATATAACGAATGTGTAGATGAAGAGCCTAGAGATGTTTGGTTCCACCCCCAGCCCATGTTGCTATGTAGTGACAATCACAGTGAAGCCATCTATCTCTCCTATGATTACAGCAGTTACCTGACTAGCACAATGTTCAAATAAAACTAATCAAGGAACAAAGTCCTTGCATATAGTTATTGAACGTTCTTTCAGTGTAATCCTTTTGTGACCTAGTTGTAGCGACTACAAATGAGTCCATAGACAGCCATGCACAACACCCTGCAACTGTGAGTATGCGCTTGTATGCTTAATACTGTCATTTGAGGCAGCAGTATTGCACCCTTCACATAACGAGCGTGCTAAGGCATCTGCTCAAAAAGGCAATAGATGCCTGGCATAGTGGGGGTTATCTTTGTAACTTTTATTTATTTTTATCCACCTTTACCCCATTTTGTTTGAAGAATTAGATTACGATTAAATTTACTGGTGTTATAAATTGCAGCCACCTTACCCTTAAATGACATGGTGGTTTTACATGAATTTATTTTTGAAAATAGTTTTTTTGTTTTTTTTTTACTCTTCGCAGAATATTAATCTTGAAACGCTGTGCAACATACAGTTCAATTTCTAGTTGTAAAATGAGCTTCTCAGTAGTTTGGCTCTTGCTTGTTTTGTTGACCTTGTACTACGCATCTACAATGGTTGCATGGACAAAGCTGCCATAAGGTAACACTGCACCTTTTTCTAAATCGGTGTATGTATCAAAATGGTCTTAACCAATGTTCACTTCCTTGCTCCATCCTGTACCTTCTACCCAGTAATTTAAACCTAGTAGCAGCAGAATTTGAGGTGGAGTGCTATATTCAAAAAACATATGCTAAGAAAGTGAGCAAAAATAAAGCATGTCATATATATATTTTTACGTGCGTTATTTGTAGGTTCTCATTTAGAGTGGTGGTGTTTTTAACACTTTATTAAATTTAATACAGTGCTCTCCCTCCTTGCCCTTCTGCCTTGAGCTTGCTTGTGAGACGCTATCGGTGCCCTCTGAATAAGGAATAGACATCTGGTGGGTTTCATTGGAAGCTCCGGGTGTCTCCAGCCTTTTCTGTGATAATTATAATAGAGGCACTTTCTTTGGTGTGGATTTTCAGTCACCAGGCTGTTTTAATTGTGTAATGTCATCCATGAGGTTTCATGTCCAGTCCTACGTGCTAAATGAAAACGTGGGCAATAATTTTCCATACAGATGTACCTGGGAGAAATTTATATATAAATCCAGCTCTGCCCTGTTCTACTTTTAACACTTTTGGAAATGAGTGACATCCGCCATTAATTGTGTAATTGCAGAGCGTGGCTCTGGTTTGAACACAGTAGGTGTGTGAGAATTCACCAGTTGGGAGTTCTTGGAGAACATTGTTTAAATTGAAACCTGGAGGAATGCTCTCTAGCCCTGACTAAAGAACAGACCTTCTGAAGTTCTAGTGGCCTTACCCAACCTGCAGAAATGTAAATACATAAAGTAGTAAATGATCTAGTTCCGGAGGCTTGTTTCATTCATTTCAACCTGAAACCAATGAAAGAGGCACTCTAAGCCCCATAACTAGTACAGCCTGTTGTAATGGTTATGGTGCAAGGAGTTCTCTGGCACTGACTGGAAAGGTTGACACTTGGAGTTAACTTCTGCCCATCTTTGAGCTGACTTGACTAGGCAAGAGGGTCTGCAGACAATAAATTTGAAAGTTGGAAAATTGAGAAGTTTTAAAATAAAGGAATGTGTCACTGTTCAAAAACTGCCTAAAATTTAAGAGTGGGATAGAAAGCGCCCTAGGCACCTAGCACCATAGCCACTACAGTAAGTGGTAGTGGTTACGGTACTTAGAATACTCTTTTTAATGGGGCAAACCGTGATGCTCTCCATAACTTCCAGAGCCATCGTGGCAACAATTATACATTGTTCTGTTAAATGCCAATTGTTGATCCTCCACTTTTATCAGCCTGGTGATTGCAGTTGAATGCTTCTTATAGTATCCCTTTTGCTCCTCATCACCTCGTTTTGTGTGACTCCACTCTCTAACTTAAACTTTCCAACTTTTTCTCACTAACCTGTGCATCCTGATTCATGGTGCAGAGAATCACTCTGCTTTATTTCTTTCTTTGGTCTGTGTCCCTTTTCCTCCACCTGTTCCTTCTTTCCACCCCTCCGGCTCACAGATTGCTCTGGAGGCCGAGGCTGCTGTTTTCCACCGCCAGCTCTTCGAGGAACTTTTCCGCCTCACCTCTAGTTCCACCCACCCTGCGGACGCGATGGCTGTAGGCGCAGTGGAGGCCTCTTTTAAATGCTTAGCAAAGGCGCTCATAGTGCTGACAGAATCTGGCAGGTAGGGCTGAGTCTGCATACCTGCCCTCTCTAGCTTCTAACATGCTGCGGCTTCTTTTGCCCACCCATCCTTCCCACAGTGCCCTTAGCAGAGGGTCAAAAGCGTGAGATTATCGGTATGAATGGTTTCAGGTGACATAGTGACTATAAAGTACAGGAGTCTGACTGATGTGAATGTCTCCCATCCCATCCTTTTTTTCCCTTCACTCACACATCCCCATTCCCTGCATTGGGCATATGCGGCACCCCCATCCCACCACTGATAGATCGCTCGCGAGGCAGAGGCAGCCATTTACCATCGACAGCTGTTTGAGGAGCTGAGGCGTGTGTCCCCATTGACCCGTGATCCCACAGAAGCAACAGCTGTTGGAGCAGTGGAGGCATCCTTCAAATGCTCCAGCGGAGCCATCATCGTTCTCACAAAGTCTGGCAGGTAGGAGGAGAATGTGAAATGGAAAATGTATGTGCTGCAGCAGGTAAATGGGTTAATGCAATGGTAGCAGGCTGGGGAAGGGTTAATTTGAGGCATTTCCTAACTTGGTTTTTTTTTTTTAATTTTGGATGGGGGGGGGTGTAGCTTGGTTTTACAGAGGGTAAGTTTATGCTCTTATTTCAGGTGACCTTTCTGTTATGGATGACTTGCTCTGTGACCTTTCCTTAGTACTATTTTTAGATTGGCTCAAGAGCTTTCTGTTACAGGGTCATAGTGAAGAGACACTCTCCTAACATCTCATAGATTCCTTTTAAATCGCTGGCTCTGCTCTGACATTTTACCTGTGACATCTGAGGTTTCTCTCCCCAGATCGGCTCACCTGGTATCCCGGTATCGTCCACGGGCTCCTATTATTGCAGTGACACGTAATGGACAAACTGCCCGTCAGGCACATCTGTACCGTGGGATCTTCCCTGTGCTGTACAAGGAGCCAGTGAATGAAGCCTGGGCTGAGGATGTGGACCAGCGGGTAAACTTTGCCATGGAAATTGGTAAGACATCCAATGTAATAGTAATTGTGGCAATACGGAGTGTTCCTTTTACAGATTATAAAAGAATCGCTGTGCTCTTAAATTGGCTTTCCAGTTTAAAGTTGGCCATTTCTAGCTTTTTACTAAGGTTTTTATTTTTTTATTTTTATTTTTTTGGTCCTTCTAAAATCACTTGCAAAGTGTCTGAGAGGTATCCCACAACTCACACATAGTTATTCACTAAAGAATTGTCAGAAATTAAAAGTTCTTTTCAAATTTTAAAGGCTTAGCTCACATGGAGAATTTTTTCTGTTCATCTTTTTGAAATGAAACTTTAAATTTTGCATTATTAATAATCTTACTTTGGTGAACTGAATAATGTGCACTGGGAATTGTGGGATGCAATAAAATCTGGGGTGTGGGGCAGCAGGGAGAAGAGAATTTTTCTTTTTTCATTATGTAAATTAGTCTGCAAAACTGTTGCTTGGTTTCTTAATAGCTAGGTATGAAACTTGTCTTCATTTTGAATCCAATGTAATACAAACCCTACAGGGTCAAATCTGTATAGCCCTTCTGCTACTTGCTTTTGACCCTTTTTTTTTTTTGACATGTCAATCCAGTAACATCCATCTGTTCAATTGGCAAGGATTAAATACACACCTTTCCAGAACTTCATCTGCTGGAGACAGCACTTTCAAACCTAAGCCACATGAATTACATAATTTTATTGCCCTAGTTCGTGGCTACCAATGCCACAATCAGAAATCCCTCTAATACCGGACGGGTTCCCAAATTACACAAGTAGAATTTTAAGTTGTTATAAAAGGGAAAATGTGACTTGTTTGTAGAGCAGGAATTGTCTTCCTCAATTTAATTGCACAGCTAGACTATGGAAGGTGAAGGCTTAAAGGGACACTATAGTCACTCAAAACACCTGTAGCTTAAAGGGACACTCCAGGCACCCAGACTACTTCTGCCCATTGGAGTGGTCTGGATGCCAACTCCCACTAACCTTAACTCTGCAAGTGTAATTAGTTCTCACCAGCCGGTGGGCGGGATCAGTCTCTCCCACCGGCCAACGTAAAGACTGGGAGGAGCGGTGGTGAGAAGAAACCACCGCCGAGGGACATCGGCGGGGTCTCAGGTAAGTGACCTGAAGAGGTGTCCCCCCCCCCCCCCTTAAGCGATGGGAGGGAGAGGGGACCTGCAGTGCCAGGAAAACCGTTTTCTTGGCACTGGAGTCTCCCCCAGTCCCCCCAGAAAATATTCCACTGGAAGAAAGTGCTGAATGGTGTTATAGCCCTTATTCCCCCCAAATATCAGACAACACTTGATGTTGGGACAATGCAACCGACCCCCGCAGGGATCTCCATTGACAAAATATAGGCAGTTATATCACTTTGTTTATGCAGCTCTAGTCAGACCTCCCCTGGCTGACCCTCAAACGGCATCCTTAGCCTATAAAAATGTTTTCTTCCCTTATTTATTGCACAGTGTTTAATTTTAGAAATTATTGTCTATGGCGCGGTTATTTGCCTTCTAGATTCCACAACAGCCTGCTGCATGTGATTGCCGTTCAATCGGCAAGAACAAGAGATAAAAACTTGTGGTGTGTGTGTATCCCCCCCCAAAATAAAATCTAAATCTCTTTAGCTTGTTGAAGTGCTTTGTGTAAAGATTGCCCTGTTCTTGTTTTAGCTCATTTGAACTCTGCTCAATAGGCAGCAATTGCCTTACAAAGCCTTCTCATTGAGTTGCAATGGGAAGTCTGTGATTGGACAGCTACAGATAGTTCTTTACCTAGTTACAAAATACATAATACATGTTCTCACTTGGCTTATATCCTAAATAGTGATTTATTTATAGGGCCTTTTTTAATGACTTTTATCCCCTTGTGTTTTCTTTCTAGGTAAAGCCCGTGGTTTCTTCAAGAGTGGTGATGTTGTGATTGTGTTAACTGGATGGCGGCCAGGCTCTGGTTTCACCAACACCATGAGGGTAGTCCCAGTTCCTTAATCTGGGTGCCTTCCAACAACACTTGCCCTCCCACTAATTTCCCTGCACTTAAAACGGTTTTCACCTGAGATGTAAACACTTGCGGTTCTGGTTGCCCACAGGATGGGGAGAGGCATTATGTGTACATAGCACTGCACTCCTGTGTCTTGCTGCTATTCACACTCCATTTAGTAGCCGGTTGTTTCTTACGTGCTGCTTGCTTCTTCATGGGAAAACGTGTAGTGCTGTTAATGCCCCTACTCATCTCCTGTTATCCTGTAGTACAAGGGTGTGTCCTGAGTGTGCAATAAGCATGTCCTATGTATCTTCTCTGGGCAGCTGTGTGGCTAGGGGAAAGCTCATACCCTCTCTTGGCTTTCTCACATTGTCCGTTGCACTGAGTTTAGTGTTAAATAAAGTCCATGCTAAAACAGTCTCTGTCTGCTTCATATCTGTCTCTGGTGTATGTTTACTTTTCTTTACCATTTCAAAAACATTTTATACCTCCACATAATGTACACGGCTTCCTATTCTGATTCTCGTTCTAACCGACTCTCAACTGAAACTGGTAGAAAGAGTTGGAAACCTTCATCTGGTTGACCTAGAATGTTTCACACTGTAAGACTGGTAAAGGTACACTTGACAAGATTCATATATTTGGGAAAGATGAATCCTAAACTTTTTTTTTTCTTCATTGTCAAGTTACAATCTGTATATAGGCGTCCACACCAGGCCTATATTGAAAACATCTTTGTATGTCTATTGTACGATGTTCCCAATATTGCTGAACTGTTTACAATATGAGTTATCAACTATGTACACACTTCTTAAGGGGGTGGGAGAGAGGCACCATGAAGTTTAAAATCAGACTTTCTGTAAGTGCAACTAGACTCGGTGAGGAAACTCCTCTTGCAATAGAGGCCATGTGGCGTAAACCCTTATGATTATGAATCATACAGCTTTGCATTTAGAAGTACATTGAAATGTAAAGTCTCTGTCCAAATCTGCTGTGCTAATGTTCCCTTCGTGTATGGAACATAACTCCAGGATCATCCAGCAGACTCACAAAATTTTAATGTGAGGTCCTTCTTGTTAGAAATCTTGTCACATTATTTTACACCATCCGTGTCTGTTGTCCTAACTTACTTTCTCTACAAACATTCGTCCAGCTTTCTCTGGCTATAGGAATGTGACAATAGATGCCAGATTTAATAGTGTAACATTGATTTCTCACCTGGTCCCAAGCTGTGCTCAGCGGTGCTATTAATTTGGGCATCTTACCATGCCACTCATGGAGATTTTGCCATTAGTTATGGCATTGTACTATGCACATCATGCTTAGATCAGGGGTGCCCAAAAACTTTTTTTTTTTTTTTTTTTAACCCCCTTAAGGACCAAACTTCTGTGATAAGTGAATCATGTCATGTGTCCTTAAGGGGTTAAACAAACTCATTCTTTTAGAATGACAAAATATCATGGAAGTTTTAAAACTTATGAGAATCTACTATTTGGGGACCCTCTGCATTATTACTATTTATAAAGCGCCAACAAATTCCATAGCGCTGTACAATGGGTGAACTAACGGACATGTAATTGTAACCAGACGAGTTGAACGCACAGGAACAAAGGGATTGAGGGTCCTGCTCAATGAGCCTACATGCTAGAGGGAGTGGGGTAATGTGACACAGAAGGTAAGGGTAGGATAGAAAAGTAGGTTGCTAGGATAGTGTTCACTGAGGGCTTAGTGTTTTGATGACAGTTGCAGGAGTGGAGTCAGGGTGCAGGGAGGGAAAGATGTTTGACAGTTTAATTGAAATGCTTTCCTGAAGTAAGTTTGAGAAAAATTTTATATATATATATATATATATATATATATATATTTTTTTTTAATAAGGAATGGGTACTGGGTGAAAGTAACAGCGGGGAATACTTTAGACTGTATTGGCACTACTATTACACCTGCCTATCAGCAAGTATTGCCCAGTTGTGTGTGTGACATTCTGATCATATTCAGGGACTGTATTCTTTTTCTGAATGGATCTGAGTTGGAATAGTTCAGAGTTCTACTGTAACTCACTGTAAATGTAACATTAGGCATTGGAGAATGGGGCTGTAGGTCGCCTAACTGATGCTGAAAGCCCTTGAATGAGGACATCAGCATCTGTAAAATCACCATAGGAAAGTGTTGATTTAATGCGTTCCCTGTGCATTTTGTCTACTTTTCAGTCTGGTAAGTTGAATAAAGGGCTGTGTATTTCTCCCCCTCCCCCTTCTATGCTACAATGCAACTGGTGAGGGTGGATGGACAAGAGGGCTCTTTACTGTTGAATACTAATCTGTATTCAGAATACTAGAATCCCTTTTAAAGCGTGGGTATTGGGTATCCAACATTTTGAGTTGCAAGGGCTCCATTGAACAAAGATGAGTTGTTGTGGGCCGCACCTAATAAAACTTCACTTCAAAAGCCTTTCTTAATAAATTCTGATATTGAACTTGTTTAGTAGATTACTCCTTTTTATTTATGTTGGATTGCCATATTTTAGGATATCAAATTTAGGAGCTATCAACTAAATACACATATCCATAAGTTACTACTTAATACATCCTCTATGCAACCCTGCACATTCATTTTGAGACACACTATAGCCACTGTACATTATATCTATATTCAAGCTCTCAGCCTTTTCCACACACCACTCAATCTCCCTCACACATATACAACACTGAGCTGTCCTCCATCACAAAACATAGCCCAAGAAGAGTGCACTAATATGTCCAGACCTCCTCCCCTTCCCACAGTGTTAAACCCCCACCACACAAACACCTGAATCCTCCAGGAACCTAATGCAACACGCACATTAGGCTGTCCAGAGGAAACCATTGGCCACCAGAGGCAATCTTAACCCTACAATATAGACATTGCAGTTTTTATGAAAGTGCAATGTTCTACATTGCAGGTTAAGGGGAGAGGGACACTGCACCCAGACCACTTCAATGAGATTAAGTGGTTTGGGTGCGTATAGTGTTCCTTTCAGCTGGCTCTAAAAGTAAGATACTCTGTAGCCACATTCTCCAAGCCAATAAGTGTACACTGAGGAAACCAAACCAGTTTTATAGGGGAAAAAATAAATAAAAGAATTGTGCTATTTATTAATAATGGCAAAAGCTACAATTAAAATGTAAACTGCTCGGGGTAGAGCTAGCAGGACAACGGAGCAGTCGCTCTTCTCTGGCTCTAACTTTCTCAAACAAAGCTTTACATGGTGGAATCCAAGCCTAAAAGACCCCACAAACCTCACAACCGTCGGCAGGTAGACCATGGGCCACAAAAAAAAAAAAAAAAAACTAAAGCAGAAAAAAAAGCAGGCCGCGTGGTCCAAAATGGCACTGGCAGATGATCTCTCATCATACACCTCGGAGGAATTTGCCTTGGATCTCTTGGAGGGAGCATCCTTCGGGCCCATGCTGGACCGCAGAATTGATATAGAATGCACACTATAACAATCTCAAAGAAAACTTTGCTTTATTATGTACAAAAAAGTACCAGAGTGAAAACATATAAAAAAAGATAAACAAAGTGACAGAAGCAAGGGCAAACACAATAAAACAATAGTAAATTACCACAAAAATTCTTACAAGCCTCCAGACAGAAACACGAGTCACCAAACCCCCCAACGTTTCGGCACCAACTGGCTGCCTTTATCAAGGGTACCTGTGACCGCAGAATTGAACCACAGAAAGCCGGGGACCCGGTCGCTGCGGGCCAGTTCAAAAGATGCTGGCGGAGCTATGTAAAGATCTGGCAGCGGATATGGCCTACTACAAAGCGGCCATTGAAGGGGTTACGTCAAAAATCACACAGCTGGAGGTCTGGTCAAGTACCCACGACACCAGATTCACCAAGGTGGAACAGCAGATCGCCACAACAGGTAGGCTGGATGCAATAGAAGATCAGATAAAACGTTATAATCTGAAAGTCCGGGAGATACCTGAGTCGGTCGACATCGCTGGCCTACCTCATTTCAAAAGGCGCTTCTTAGGAGTCCTGCACCCACCAAAGCAGGTGAAATCCTTGAGGCTGGAGGCTATGTTCCGGCTACCAAAGCCAACAAGGGCGCCAGCAACTGCAGACCTTAGATTCCAAACCCTTTCAGATAAAGCCTCACTCCTGGCCGCTCTGAAGGGGAAAACTCCCCTGCTGTTTGAGGGCACCTCGATAACAGTATTCCCAGACCTCATCAAGAGCACCCTAACCCGGAGAAAATCACTGCAACCTCTCCTGCAACACCTCCATGCCAGAGAGATTTCCTACAGATGGAGAACTCCATGAGCCATATTGTTTACTCACAACGGGACTTTCTACAGAGCACAAGGCTATCAGGAGCTGGAATCGCACCTAAAATCAGCAGGCATACTGCAAGCCGCACCAACAACTGGAACAGGACTGTCCCGGCTGAACACCGCTACCATTCAGGAATTTACTCCGAGAGAAATCCAGAGAGCCTCACCTGCCAGGCCACCCACCTGAGGAAACGGAGGCTGGCCCACTCAAGGTGACTCAATTCCACCATCCACATTCAACATGTTTACCACAGTTAGAGATTGCTTTATTAGCCCCGCCGGCTAATGGTTGGCCTCTTTAACCCCTTAAGGACACATGACGTGTGACATGTCATGATTCCCTTTTATTCCAGAAGTTTGGTTCTTAAAATACTCTCCTAGTCTCTGGGCAAGGGGTAAACCCCTTTGTGGTCATCACCTATATTGGAGATTAGACAACGGCAATAAATCTCCCATTTATATGGTGGATGGACATCCCTGTAGGAATACTTGGCTTGTATAGTTAAAATAAAGTTAAAAAACAAACAAACATAGCAGTGCACAAAGGAATAGACAGTCAGTCTAAGGAAGCCAGTAAACGCTTATGGGCCCAGTTCAGAAACGTCCCATACCAGACACTAAGAGGTCTTGGTAAGTTAAATTTGGTAAGTTGGTAAGTTAAATTTGGAAGCCTCACCAAGAGGTATTAGGTATTGAGAATCTACATCTACTCCAAGGAGAGGCGCTTTTCACAACATGGGGGTTACAGCCTGAGGAGGTAAGGGTGGTAGCTTAAGTGCACGTATGAGGTTCACTGAGTCTTGTTGAGGCTGATAAATCAGCACTGCATCTTTATAATATATTATGAAATAAATTCATACTAGCAAAATATTAATCATACAGATTTCACATGCAATTTAAGCTGTTGAAGTACATTTAAACCAGCAGGTGGCAGTCTTGACATGTGGAAAGTTTATATTTCTTTATATGATCAGGGCCGGCCTTAGGCAATTAGGCGACCTGTGCAAAAAGTCTTCACGGCGCCCCCCCACCTCCCACCAAGTTGCCTGAATACAGTAACACACACAGGCACCGGGGACGTGTGTATCACGAGGCAAACAAGGCATCTGCCTTGGGCGCCACTTTGCAGGGGGCGGCAAAAAAAAGCATCCCTCCAAACCCCAGGC